AACTAATAAATAATTTTAAAAGAAATCTATCATACCTTTGCTATGGATTGATGGAAGAAATCCCATCTCTCAACACCACCAACCAGACCAATGTTACGTAAAAATGGTTTCAATGTTCGTCTAACCTGAGCCCATGGTAGCATTGGTAAAGGAGTGTTGGACTCCACATCACCAAGTAACATCTGCAATTCTGTTTCAAGAAGACCTGCCTGTGAGCAATATAGTAGACTTAACACCTGTAAAGTAAAACATACATATTTCAAGGTTTTACTGATATTCAGTCAGGCCTGGGTTCTTTTCCTGTCTATATATTTCTCTTTTATTTCTTTTTTTATTACTGGTATGTATATTTGATTAAGCATGTTGTTTTTGCTGTCTAAAGGTTTTTGATTTTTGTGCTTTGATATGCATTATGGTTGGTTGCCATGACTTATTATAAATTACCTTGGCGATGCAGTCAGTGAGATCTTCCTTCACCAATCTGTTAAGTATATCAGATAAAAGACCCTCTAGCTTGCCGGGCAATGTCTGTATCCTTTGAGTGAGTCTTTCAAATACACCAAATACACGCAGTTCCTCACATGCCAATGTTAACCACAGAGCATTCTTGGCACCATCACATTTAGTCAGCAGTGCTAGCTGATTTGGATCAAGTCTCTAGAACAAAAAAATATACACTTCAAAATTGTTGTTACCGTATATGATACATTCACTTTCAGGTCTGTGTACAGAGGTCGTTAAGACAGGGGAATCACAATAAAGATTTCACAGAGGTCCTTAAGACAGGGGAGTCACAATAAAGATTTCACAGAGGTCATTAAGACAGGGGAATCACAATAAAGATTTCACAGAGGTCCTTAAGACAAGGGAATCACAATAATGATTTCACAGAGATCCTTAAGACAGGGGAATCACAATAAAGATTTCACAGAGGTCCTTAAGACAGGGAAATCACAATAAAGGTTTCACAGAGGTCCTTAAGACAGGGGAATCACAATAAAGATTTCACAGAGGTCCTTAAGACAGGGGAATCACAATAAAGACTTCACAGAGGTCCTTAAGACAGAAGAGTCACAATAAAGATTTCACAGAGGTCGTTAAGACAGGGAAATCACAATAAAGATTTCACAGAGGTCGTTAAGACAGGGAAATCACAGTAAAGATTTCACAGAGGTCCTTAAGACAGGGGAATCACAATA